TAATGTTGATTTAGCAAGAAGCCACAGCAAATACTGACTTAAGAATATTCTCAATATTAAACATATTTAATTCGATGCTTAATTAAATCCGTATCGTATGCATTAGAACTATGAAATACTCAATACAGAGTAACAGTGGCACTGTTTTCCGGGTGGCAGTGGGATGGTTACCCAGAATTCCATGTCTGTCCCATCCACCTCTACCGTTATCTGCATGCTTATGATCAAGACACACAAAAATAATTAATTTTTAGGAAGGAAATTTATTGTGTTATATATCAATTCAGATAAGATTTTATTTCCCTTAAGCATATACCTCTGAAACCGAGGGAAGTAAACATTTTTAAAGAAGTTTTTTCTTCTATAGCAGGAATTTTTAATATCAAAATCAAGCTCACAGTAGTTTTCAGATTCTGGCAGAGACTTTCTTGCATAAAACTAGCTGGTTCAAACTCAGTACAGCTAACAGCAGAAGAAGGAAGCTAAAGTGGGCAGGCAGAACACCTAGGAGAGGTTTTGAGGTTATGATGATATAATCTTCTATGACTATAAATGCTACTGTATGCATCTGTAGCTACTTTCACATGTCATTTTGCACAAATGTACAAGAACTTTGACAACTAAATGTATCACTACAAAAACATGTTTTGCATAATGAGGCGCACCACAAATAAATACTGCTTTGGGAAACTGCCTTGGGGAACCCAGCACAGCAGCTCTGTGGTAAGACCAGAGGACATCCACGTCAGAAGCCAGGACAACGGACTGACTCAAGGACACCTCTCACTCTCTACCACCATCATCAGCCAGACCTAGCCCAAGCTGCCCTTTTTGGGGGTGGTCCAGGTGCACGGCCAGGAGCCCACCTCACACGCAGCGAGGACAACGCACACAGCTCTGCAGGCCTGGTGAAGAACCACTGCCACTCCAGCAGGTCCAACACCTCCCTTTACCAACCACCACCTTTAATGCCTGCTCAGGAAGAGTACTTCTTTAAGGGCCACCACAAGCAGCCTGACTTTACATAACAGAAGGAAAGATTTTGCCTCCGTGTTGTCCCTCCTCCCTTCTTCCACAAGGCAGAGCAGCGCTGGGAATGCCAGGGGTCATCTTCTAGACAAAAAGTGACAATTTCAGACCTTTTCAAAGATATCGCTTCAGGCTGTCAGCTGACAACACTGCTCTGCCCTTGCTTTCAGACCTCTTCTTGAGGCCATGCGTGTCAAGGATAATTCTGTTAAATAACAGTTATAATCCTAAATTTAAAAGCAACAAGCCTTGGGACTTGCTGATAATAGTAATCCTGCACTTTCTTCCTTCCTCTTTCCTTTGCTCAAATCACATAATTTCTCTATGTCAATTAAAAATCTGCATTAAGCCAGAGTATAATAAATGACAACAGATTTTCTAGAGTACTGCTACACTTGTGAGAATAAATGTTTCTTCACTATTTACAGAAGCATAAATGTGCATCTATCCTGCAGGAAAATTCAGGGACTTTAACTTACTCTAGAGCCCTTACAGGCCCAGCTTCACAAATGCAAAATTTGGTATCTGCATTTAATACATGACCATTTTCAACCAGAGGGTTAGCCTGGTGTCAGATCCTGGCTGAAAGGCAGTGAGTAAGAGGCTGTATAGAAATGCTTTTTGGCCATGGATGGCACCGACACACCGGATGGCAGGAACTGTGTCCCTTGCTCAACTTCATTGCAAAATGGCTTAGGAGCTCTCCAAGCACAGGGTATTTTGTCCCAATGCAGAACTGGTAAGAGGCAGCCAAGTGGTAGACTTCATGACTATGGGGCATTCCCAATCCCTGGCTGCAGGATCAAGACCATATGAAACCGATCATTTGGCCACAGCATATTTTCTAATTTACCAATTGAAGTTTTCCAGTAATTTCGCGTATTATACAAGAAAGATTTTCTGCCCCGCCATCATGTGTCAGACCTGCAAGCTCAGCTTTAGATATTAAAGCACAAATTCTCAAAGATTCCAGCAGACTAAATCCTGCCCTGCACTGAATCTGACATTTGCTATGCTTTGTCAAAGCTTATTTTCTTATAAAATCACATCACAATCTTTTAATTTGTTTAATGTTAATCCAGGAACACCACACAGATGGGCTCTTTTTTGTTTTGTTTTGTTTTTTGGTTTTGTTTTTTTTTTTAAATCAAAGTTGTAATTAAGTGGCCTGAATCAAAGTGCCTAGAGATGTGGTATTATAACAAAATTAAAATTGCGCAGGGCAGTACTGTCATGGTCCATCCCTTTTCCCCTCCTTTTTCTCCTAGCACATCCCTGCTCCTTCTCCTGCATAAGAGATGCAGTGCTCATCTATCCCCACACCAAGTCAGTTCAGGAAACAGAAACTTTTGCAAGTGAAATTTTTGTTTTGAGGATCATTTTTGTCCTGTCTCATTCCCCAAGTCAGATTGCCGTGAGTATCAGAGCTACCAAGCGGGAAAGGCATTAACAGCCCAAGACCCAGTTCAGTTCAACAAAAACAGGCACAAAGTGCACAACACTACAAGACGTCCCATATGTACTCAGTTGCCTTTAGTTTTTCCAACTGATTGACATTTTGATCATATTGCATTGTAAATGCATGTGTGTATTCTTAACTTCTGTTAAGAACCACCACTCCAATTACCTTATTGTTAGTCAACCCCTAGATAGTAAGACAGGAAGCTAACCCACACACTAGACACTACCTTCTAATAATAATTATTATTACATGTTAATGAACAACTCTTTTTTTTTGTTTTGTTTTCCAAAACGTCCTCCCATTTTGTTGAGTCTAACTACTCAAGTACATTTGTCTAACTGCTTCTTAGGAAATTATAATGTGTGAATCCAAAAAGCCAAGCAGATAAAACCAGTAATGTGAAAAATACCTGAAACCTTAAGAAATACTTCAGTGGGAAAAAAAACCCACCAGAATCTACTGAGCAAAAGATTTAATTAATCTCTTTTGCCTAATCCAAGTTTTAATTTAAAACTCCTCCAGAAAGTCTAGTTTTAGATAAAAACACCAAGCTTAGTAAGTTTCCTCCTAAGAAAATGCACCTTTAGAACATCCTTGCTTTAGACATTTGGAGGTTTATGGACATAACATTGAAAGAAAAATGCAACTCCAAAAGCAGTCAGTGAGCCCTCTAGTGTTTCAAAAGGACAGGAGTTATTCCAACTAGACACAAATGTGAATGGCTATTTAACAAAAAGTTACTAGGACTCAGTGTTACTGTACTTACTGTGCAAATAGCCCATAGATATGGTAGCCTAAAAATACCACCTTAATCAACACTGCCTGCTGGACAAGTGAGTTTGTGCTTCTAACCTAGCAAGAAGTCTCAATTTCTAGAATTCAATACATCAGAAATACTCTACATGCTTTTCCCCCTGTGGAAATTACAAAACTGTATTAAGTTTCCCACTAAATTAATTTCCTATTTTTAATGGCTTTATTTTCTACATAAGAATGAAAAAGTTCTAAAATACTGAGTAGTGATTTGAATAGACCCAGCCCACTGATAATTAAGCCTTTGCTTAGGCAAAACTCCTAGCACTGGTAGTTCAGGAATGAATTTTAACGGGTTTTTTTGAGAAATCCATCTACCTTTGCAGTCTTTACCTTTCTGTTTGCATGACACATCCCTAAATCAGTATCTCCAGATTCTTTTAACTCACAAAGCCCTTCTGATCACATCTCTGACTACTTGCACAAGTACTGTTGATCACTTGAAATGTCTAAATGAAGATCACAGTTACTGAGAACATCTGTATTTCAGCACAACATTATGTATGCTGTTAAAAAGAGAAATTCCTAATGATGGAGAGCCTAACAGCTTTTGACCAGACGATTCCAGATACTCTGAAACTCCTCTACAGTGTAATAGTAAAATTATTTCACCCGAGTGCTTTCAAATAATTCCTTATTAGTCCTCCAGGATGTCAATACGCAGAGTTACATTTGCATAGACATATTCCTCAGTCCTTCTAGTTTCACTAAGATACGTTCCTTGAACCTCAAACTCTAGAAGAGCTTGACAGCTCACTGGGAAGCTCCATGTCTACATTAGCAAAATCCATTTCTGACGGAGCTCTGTCTCAGGTCATTCACAATCAGAAGCGGCAGCCAAAGGCTTGACTAGCTAGCACTGTCTCACTAGTAAGCCGGCTGCTTTTACATCTTCAGAAAAAAATGGGGCACTGATTTTTACTTACAAAGTCAGAAAATGCCAAAATACTACCCCACCTCTGTTGAAGAGTAACAAAGTGTGCTATTGTAATTGATATCAGCAAAGTCACTTAGAAGAAAAAGGTGAAGGTCTGACATTATGCACAAAAGAACCTGTGCATTTCTTTCTGCACACGTTGTCTCTCTGGACCTCTGTAAGGCCTTTGACACGGTCCCCCACAACATCCTGCTCTCTAAACTGGAGAGGTATGGATTTGATGGGTGGACTGTCCAGTGGGTGAGGAATTGGTTAGATGGTCGCATCCAGAGGGTAGTGGTCAACGGCTCAATGTCCAGATGGATACTGGTGACAAATGGTGTCCCGCAGGGGTCCGTATTGGGACAGGTACTGTTTAATATCTTCATCAACGGCATAGACAGTGGGATCAAGTGCACCCTCAGCAAGTTTGCAGATGACACCAAGCTGAGAGGTGTGGTTGACATACCAGAGGGACAGGATGCCATCCAGAGGGACCTGGACAAGCTTGAGAAGTGGACCTGGGGGATGAAGGGATTGAGAGCAGCCCTGCCGAGAAGGACTTGGGGGTACTGGTGGAGGAAAAGCTGGACATGAGCCAGCAATGTGCGCTCGCAGCCCAGAAGGCCAGTCGTATCCTGGGCTGCATCAAAAGAAGCGTGGCCAGCAGGTCGAGGGAGGGGATTCTGCCCCTCTATCCTGCTCTGGTGAGACCCCACCTGGAGTACTGCGTCCAGCTCTGG